TTTTCTCCTCATTTCTTCCATTTCTGCATTTCTTATTACTGTTTCGTGTGCTACCTTGGTATGCGCTAAGTTTCTCATAGTTTCTAGCATATCAGCGATTTATATAGGTGGATGTGAAGTTCCTTTTCCATCAACAAATCTCATTCTAAAACTCCTATCACGCCGCTTGATTGTTTTGGCATACCCTCCAGAATCATACACTCTCCCATTTTTCCTATTCCTACGAGCAACATCATACCAAGTCTAAAAATCCAGACAAGGATTAATAGGATATTCTGGTGGCAGTGCTGGTAACTCAGGATGCTTTGATAGAATAAGGGCAACTCGTCTATTGTTAGTGCGGTAAAGCAGCAAGTAAAAAATATTAAGTACCCGGTTTTGTCGTCTCCACAGGGATTAGTGCGATATGAACGCCGTTCAACAGCCTCTATGTTTCTAAGCTTGATTTTCAACAGGTTTGGTTTAAAAGGTTCAGGGAACCATAAATAAAAACAGAAAATATAAAATAAAGACTGAAATATAAACGGAGCCTTGTTGGGATTGGATTTCATCAATTGATAACACATGCATTCTTCTGATCAAATTAAACACAATGCAATCATTTGTCTAATATCCTTACGTATCACTCACGATAGAGCTTATCTCTAATGCGGCGTCGAGAGAACAACCGTGTTGTCTCATTGGTGATCTCTCATCCAACAAAAACACAACACAGAGCATTAAGACCTGATACTCACGCAAATGCTAAGCCTAAATCTATCTCTAGCATGTAGGACCTAACCGGTAATCATCCTAGATCCAGATCCGAAAAGTATATCTCTATCACGATTCAAATCAAAGATTAACAGGTAAACAAGAATGAAACCCATATCAAATAAACAATTGTTTTGCATAAAACACAATGATCAAAATACGTACACACGCTTAACCCTTTTTTACATGTATTCATCTAATCCGCCAAATGTCGGTGAACATCATTCTTCATCACTATTATCACATACCCACACAATATCATATTGATCCTACCCATGCTACTTAATCAACACAACACCGTAGAGGATAAAATGAATATCAACTTCGAAACCATGTCAAAATTTTGTTCATTAATAGACAAAGATCTGAGATCAAAGATGTTAAAAGGTTTTGTCAAGACCCATAAATACATAATCAAAAATATTCAATCAATAGAGAATCCAAAATAAGTTCACAAACATAAATTAGATGAAATACATAAGGTATCAAAAGATATCACTCAAAATAAGATCTTTCTTCAGATGCTCTTTAAATACAACTTCAGATGCTCTTTTTTCTTTCTTTCTCTATTTTAGATATTTTCTTAAAGGTCTTCGAATCCCAATGGAAAATAAGATCTTTAAATACATCTTCACCTATCCAACAGGGACTTCGACCCTTTTCTTTCCAAATTAATTCTAACATGCCTAAGCGTGTCAGATAGTTGGGCAGAACATTTCGAGTGAAAATTTTCCTTAATTTAGTGTTGATCCTTAATGTGGCAACAACATTTCTCCTACATTGTTGTATGAATTCAAAAAATATTAAATAAAGTATAATCATGAATGTCTTAGTAAATGTAAAAGAAATTAAAATAATAATGACTTAAATGAGATAGTTAATTATACCTAAAATAACTTAAACCAATATTCCTTGTCATCATTGCAAAGTGCTCCATAAGTTGGCCAAAACTTTTTATACCATTCTTTAATAATTTCTGCTATACTCAGTGCTGCAGGATGTGACGGCACAAGGCTAGACAACACAATTTTGAGTTAGTATTAATTAAAAAAATAACTCAAGTTTAAAATATAATATAAAACATAAACACTTATCATCCTTCTTCGGGCTGAATAATAAATATTCCAAGATGTTTCCTAATTCTTTGTTGTGCACTTCTTAGAATGTGCATCCTCCTTCGCTCCTCATGAGCACTGGTGGTATATCCATGACCGTGAGCACTACTATCATCCTTGTCATCTTGCTCATCATGCGTAGAATGCATGAGTGATGAATGTGGCATGCTATATCCACCTGGCTCCATATATTGCATAGAAGGCTGCATGGAAGACATAGGAAATCTAGGTCTACTCGGTTGCATGGAAGGCATAGGAAAGCTAGGTCTACTCAACTGCATGAAAGGCATTGGAAAATATGTGGGATGTGGGATTCTAGGTTGCATAAAAGGTGTATATCCAGAGTGACTAATAAAAGTTGTCGCTGAAATGGGTGGGAATGATGAAAAATATGGCGTGGATAGTAATCCAGTGAAAGATCCATATATAGGTGAAGTAGAATGCATATGCGGTGGAGTAGAATGCATATACAGTAGAGTAGAATGCATAGGCGAACGAGCCACCTAACTCGAAAGTGGCATAGGAATAAACATAGATGAATCAGGAACCTCTTCTACAATGAACCTTGTGCGATGAGTCTTATCCTTACCTTTCTCCTCAGTTCGAGTAGCATTTTTTTTCTATTTTAAAAGAAAAACATAAAATAATAAATATATCACAAAAACATAAAAATAAGAGTAATGTTAATTCGAGCAAATATTACAAAAAATATTATTACATAATACATATTATTTAAATTATTCATCGTTGTAATCTGCACTATCTTCATCAAATCAGATATTATTGTCTTCAGACTCTCTTGACTCTTCTTACTCTTCTTCCACGTGATTTATTGACAACAAGATAGTTGCGTCAACTTATTGACCCTCAACTACAATATCACCCAAACTTGTAATCTCTTCAATTTCAATTGCCCCATTAACTTATCAAATCTCATCATCTTGGTATGAAACATATTCCATTACACTGTTAGTTTCAATATGACCCATTGGGTTGGACTAGATTACAACACATCATCCTTTTTTACGTGGTTGAATTGAAGGATAAGGTGCGTAATAAACTTGCCTAACATTATGTGCCATTATGAAAGGTTCATACTCTTTTTACTTTCTAACCATTCGAACCTCAACATTGTTATATTTTTATTTATCTATTTTAGTTCCTCTAGAAGATGAATCATACCAATCACAATAAAACAAGAGAACTTTATTTTTCGAGTCCATATAATTATATACCAACTCATAAATATGTGTGATAACACCATAGAAGTCGTCCTCACCACTCTCCGTAACTCCTTTTACAACTACACCATTGTTTATTGTTTTCTTCCCTTCTCTCCATGTTTAAATATGAATTTTATATTCATTTACAAAGTATGTGTGTCATTCATCTGCATGTTGATGAGGGCCTTCACACAAACGTCTCAAATGGATTATTTTAGGACTTGGTGCAACACTGCATGATAATTGTTGCTTGAACCATGCAGGAAAATAGGCATGTGTGTAACCAGTCGATGGTCGTTCACTCGTGCTTTGAAAAATAATAGGTATTCAATGCCCTATTTTAAAAAATAATCTAGGTTACAGAAGGTGACAAGTATATTTAACCAAAAATGAATATATACTTAATTTAAAATACTTACTCAAGATATGGTTTAATTCAATGTAGTTAATCAACATATGAACATGAGCAGATTGCATTTCTTTTCCAGACAGCTAATGCACACTCGTATTTGCAGAAGGACGATCAAGACGACCGGAAACTAATAACATGAGTTGACTTTTTTCACTAAAGTGAACTTTATTTCTTATGATCCTCTTATTCAACGTCATATGATTGAAATAATGAGAGCAAAAATGTGATGTTTCTCGATGCAAGTAATGCGCACATATTGATCCCTCAACTCTTGCTTTATTTTTCACTGATCACTTTGAATCACTTTGAATCATTCAAAAGGATACATCCATTTATATTAAATAGGTCCACCAAGGTAAGCTTTATAAGCAAGATTCACAAGGAGATGCTCTATAGAATCAAAGAAGCCTGGCGAAAATATTTACTCCAACTTATAGAGAATGAGAGGATTACTTTGGTCTAATTTAATGATGGTGCCTACTCTTAAAGTTGACGCACAAATGTCTTTAAAAAATTGACTAATCTTAGTTAGTGGATTAAGCACATACTTAGGAAGTGAACCGAATGCAGCTGGAAGCAATCGTTCCATGAAAACATGACAATCATGACTTTTCATTCCATGCAACTTCCTAGTTTTTGCGTCAGCACATCTTGCCAAGTTAGAAGAATAACCATCGGGCACCCTCAACTCATTTAACCACCGACATACTGATTTTTCTTCTTGGGGTGTAAGAGTGTAACAAGCCTTGGGTTTTAATAATTTTTCATTTGGCTGAGGTTCCAATTCTGTGTCTTTTCGATTACACAAAAGTTCCAAGTCCTTTTTAGTCTTCTCATTATCTTTTGTCTTGCTTTGGACTTTTATTACTGTGTTAAATATATTATCAAAAAAATTCTTCTCAATGTGCATAGCATCAAGTTTATATCGCAACAAATTATCTTTCCAATATGTGAGGTCCCAAAAAATACTTCTTTTTGTCTAATTGTATGTGTCCCTATATCTTTGAATTATGCACGCTTTACCATTATCTATGAATTTTGGTAGGTCATAAATACTATTCTATACTTCGGTTGACGACAGACAAGGGGGAGGAAGATCTATTACTTTTTTCCTTTTCTAAAAGCGTTTATTTTTATTTATTTATAGAAACATGGTTTATAGGTAAGAACCTACAATGACAGTCAAACCACAAACCTTTCCCACCCATTTCCAAAGTAAACACTTTTATGCATCCCATAGATTGTGCACATCCCATTTCGCCATGCATACCCCAACCAGACAACATGCCATATGCATGAAAGTCATTAATTGCCCATGTCAAAGCAGTTCGCTTATTAAAGTTTCATTTACAAGACACGTCATAAGTCCATTATCCAATCCACAACCTCTTCAAGTAATCAATTAAAGGTTGTAAACAAACATCTATTACCACCTTTGGACTCAAAGGTTCTGGAATGAGGCATGTCAAAAACATATAAGGTTTTGTCATACATATATCAGGAGGGATATTGTACGGGGTGATGATAACTGGCCAATAAGAATAAACAATTATTGACGATTGAATATAAGGAGTAAAACCATATGAGATAATCAAAGTCTGAAATTCTAGGTTCTGCTACAAATTTTGGATGTACTCTATCAAAGTGTTTCCATGCCTCACCATCAGATGGATGTCGCATCATGCCTGAACTAATTGTGTTTGTATAATGCCATGTCATCTGAATTGCACTATGCATTGATGCAAACATTCTTTGTAACCTAGGTATCATTGGAAGATAGAACATGAACTTCACCACAACTCGTTTTTGCTTTCGATCAATGCCTTTACTGCGAACTGCATACCTCAGACTCTTACAAAACTTACATTCCTCCAATGTCTCATCATTTATACCAAACTCATTGTCATAAAATAACATGTAACCTCCTATGCAACAATTAATCTTTTTTACTTCTAGCCCTAACTTTGACACCATCCTCTTTGCATCATAATAACTTGTAGGCATGTTTTCTTTCACAGGAGTCGCGTCCAACATCATTTTTGCAAAGAATTCCAAACATTGATCAGAAACATTTAAATTTAACTTTATAGCCAAAAGACTTACACACATTGATAGCCTAGGGTCAAAAGACCCATAAAATAATGGTATATTTATTTCTTCCAACAACAACTGATAAAACTATTATGCTTTCTCATTTGGGAGGTCTTCTGAATCAAAGTCTTGAGGTTCATCATAAGCCACATTCACCCCCAAATGCATCACTGAACATACCATCTACTAAATTAAATTGTTCCTGGTATTGTATGTGATTTACTCCTTGAAGCATATTTATTTATCTTTGGTCTAATATGTGTTTGACCACTAGAAGCCTTTATATTCATCTCTGACAGTTTTTCTCCATCAGATGTCCAAACCCAATAATTTGACCTAAAACTCACTCTCCCCAAGTGACGTTTCACTTCACTAGGGGCACTAATTATATTTCTACAACCACACTTTAAACACATACATTTTACCCCTCATTCTCTTCGACAACATTCTTGAGCAAACATATGTGAGAAACCCGACAACTCCCTCCTTAAAATGTGGTTTAAGCCCTCGTCTTCCTGAAAACATTCTATCATACATCCTGTCGCGGTGAAATTTGGATACCAAACTATTGATTAGTTTGAATCTTTAATTCATTTTGCAACCGAACTTTGATTTGTCCAAAGGAAGGGATAAAGATCGAAATTCCCACAATGCAATGCAAATGCAAGGTTTAGAGAGTTATAGGTTCGGGGGTTGGTTAAACTTAGGGAAGGTACTAGCATCCTAAGTTTCTGTAGTACTCTACAGGAACCTCTTGTTTTATGTTTGTTTACTGCTATGTGTTATCTGCTTAAAGGATTAGAAACCCTAGGGGTTTATATCTAAGTATACTCGATAAGGCATCGCACCTTGTGCCTACATATCCTTACGGGAGTGGAATCAGAGTATGTTGTAGTTCACCCTAAAGGGTTAGAGGAGTTCTTTGACTGTGGTCAAAGTTCCTACGGGTTTAGGGTAGTTGTTTTGATTGGGTTTAGGAGAAGAGATGAGTCTTCATTTTAAGGGAGAGATAACCACCACAAATGTAAAGGGGGTTGTAGGAAATGGTCTTTGCATCGTCTTAAGAAAAGGTCTTACATACTCGGATGGTCGCCAAGCATGCCTTTGTCGCTCTTAAGGCAAAGTTCCTACATGTTTGATTGTATTGTTGTGGGGGTGGAGATTATATCTCGCTTAAGATGATTAACATCTATTCTCTAAATGTGTTTGAAAAGTTATTTTTGTGTTGTTTGTCTAAGTTGTAAAGATAAAGACAAGGTCCTTCCTATGGGATAGGTCCTAAACTTAAGCGATCGACTTGAAGAATCAAGGATCAAGGGGGAATATGATGCATATGAAGTGCAACTACACACAACGTTGAATTATGTGTAGGTTTTTCCTTTGGACGGAATGCGATGCGGAAACATAAATTGCGATAATGTAAATGACAGTAAGGTAAATTACAGAAAAGTAAACCATACAAGTACGCATGAAAGCGCTGAGGTGTAGGTGCAAGTTTCGTGAATGTGAATGTGCACGATTAATTTGTATTTATACGATGTTGATTGATTAAGGAGAAATCGTATTTATTTTAAGTGAGATTAATTTACTATTATTATTATGTAAAAAATTTATTATTAAAATTTAAATTTAATTAGAAAAAGATTTTAAATGATTATTGAAGAGACAAGTTAATTATAACATAGTTGAGTTTTTTTCCATTTTTGTTTTTATTGAATAGAGTTTATTTTAAAATAGAATGGTTTATCATTTTTTTATGAAAGTTGTTATCAATAAATAGATTTTATTAAGAGTCGTATTAGGTTATATGAATTAATTTTAGGTTTTAAAATGAATAAGATTTTAAACAAATAGAAGTTTTGAGAAAAATATTTTATTATTATGAAAAGCTAAAAAAAGGAGGTTTATTATTTATCTTATAAAATTCAAATTTAAATGTGAAAAGATTTATCCTTAAATAAAATTATTATAAAAGGTTAAATTAAGTTTTAAAAGGGAATTTTCTTTTTTTTACTAAATAGAAAATAAAAGTTAAATTAAAATGAAGTGGATTTTTTTATTTTATAAAATGGTTCTAATATTATTAATTATAAAATAATTTTATTATATTATAGATTTATTAAAAAACAAAGACTTTTAATTATTAAATAAAAAAAAAAGGGGGCTAACAGTTAAATTTGATTAAAAAGAGGTTTGTTGTAATTTATTTAAAATAAACAGACATATTATCTTAATTAGAAAAGGATTTATTAGTTTGATTTTTAAAAAGGTTGATTAAGGGGTGGATTGGTGATTGGGGGATAAGTTAGCGGTTAGTTAGGGTGTGTGTGTGACAAATGGTGTGATTATGCAGCAGTAGAAAAATAATAAGCAAAAAAAATAAAATAAGAAAACACAAACAGAACCCTAAAGTCCCTCCCCCCCCCAATCGGCGACTGCGTCGTTCATCCCCTTCCTCCGTTCTGCTTTACGACTTTGTCATCTTTTCCTTCTTCTCTTCGCCTCCCAAATTTCTCTTGTCTTCTTTTTCTCTGTCTTTTCCCTACATAAACAAACAAACAAAGAACACCAGATTAAGGTTAGCGAAAAAAGGAAATCTCACATTTTGATGGATTTCGCAGGTTTCGACGGCGAGTGGTGAGAGGGCTTCGACGGATGAAGTTGAAGGTGGGCGTGAATGGAGATAGCGGTTTGGATTGTGGTGATCCCCGATGAAGATTTTCGGCGGTGGCTGAAGGCTGAAGGCGGCGCCGATGGACAAAAGGGGTAAGTTTTTTTCTTAGGGTTTTGATTTTAGGGCGTATTTCCGTGTGAAAGGGTTATGGATTTTGTGATTGGGGATTTGGCGAATTGCTATGTGTTAGTTGTGAATTCTGTCTCTCTCCCCTGAATGTTGTGAATCCTTCTCCTCTTATAGGCTACTTCGAATTCAGTCCTTCAATGCTTGAGAGAATTCTTTCTTATTTTAGACCGACATGTCTAAAGCTGTTTTGGAAACAATTCATGGCTGTGTTAATATCGATTTGGAAGGCTTTAACTATTGTCTGATTTTGTTTTGGAATTGCTTTCGATTCCTGATATTGGTAATTTACGAGTTGAATTAACCGTGTTTGTTGACATGTGCAGAGTCTAAGACTTCCAAACTTGTTCTTCGTTCTCTATTCACCAGTGGCAATTCGTCAGCAATTTCACATCTTCACGACCCATCGGCAACACTCTTTCGGAAACTCCGCTTTCTTGTTGATTGGAGACTGATGCAGAACCTCACAGCCACTGGTGTGTGATCAAGATTGCCCTTGTAAACTTCCCCATATCCTCAAATTTGTTGAATCTGCCACCTGAGGCCAATATTATCACTCCGCACACATATATTACACTGGTGAGTGCTTCGGCTGCTGTGTGGTATTTTGAATTGTCAAAAGTAGCGGACTGACTTGCGTCTGTTGTTTGTAGGTGAAGATGACAAATTTGGTGGTTGCTTGCTTCCCATCAGACCATGAAGGCGCTCTTCAAGCGGCCATCCGCGGCTATGGGTAATAGTCTCAACCCTTGTCTATGTTTGGAGTCCAAAGTTACTCTGTTCCCAAACCAAGTAGAAGATACTTCTGCCTCACAAAATGACGTATTCACAGGTTTTGGTCATGTTCTGGTGACATTACAAACAAAGCGTGGCGAAAGACGAGTTATCGCAACTATGGGCTCTCAAATATTGACGAAGGTATCGAAGTTCAATCTTATCCTTGATTGTCTTATTTATCTCATTACTGTCTTGAGGCACACGGTTCCTTTGAAATGGTACCAAGATTAACTACATTAGTCTTGTTGACATGCCGAACTATTGTTACGGGATGTGTTAGTCGTGATAGATAGTCTGAATCTAATTGGTTTTGAATAATATCTGCAGGTTTGTCTTTGTAGACTTTTATGGTCTCTAAGTAACGGCCACATCCCTCTAGGCTCCATCCACATAAGAGGGTGCAATCATGGAGCACAACCGTCTTCGTAACTCCAAGTAGAAGCTTCAATACATCCTCCACATCAAGATGGCATAACAACATCAGCAAATGTCCAAATGTCGTGCTTGTTGCTTACAAGTATTGCATTGTGATTCTGAGTAGGTTGAGAATTTGGTAATTGATGAAGTTGCAGGAGCAGTAGTAATCATATACTGTAGTCCTTCATTTTCAATGTATTTTAGTTTTTGAGTGTATGATGATAAAACAATACTACGTAGTTATCCAAGTAATGTTTTGTTGCCTACTTCAATTTAATTTCATGAGTTCCTTTACATGAAGCATTTTGTAAATTATGGGCTGATAGTTATCCTTGTGTTAATTTAGTTCTTCACGTACTTAATAACGAGCCATGACAATTGGTGGAAAGGAAAATTAGAACGATCCACAAATAATTGACAAAAGATCTGAAGCAAAGCTCAGCGGTAAACCAATGGGGTCCTGAAGAAAAAACTTGAAAAGGCAACCTCCAAAATAAGCTCCTCAGTACCTTAACTGCTAATAGCAAGGAGATACTTCTTTTATATCATGAAGACTTTCTGATGTGAATCAATCTTACTCAAAATAAAACTAACTCTTCATGAATGAAACTCGTGAGTGGAAGGCAACTTAGACGAATCTTGGTTTAGTTGGAATCTTGAGCATTGAAATTCTACTTGCCCTTACTATGATCGATCCTCAAATGACTATGCTTAACCCCTAATCAAACTGAATTAGGCTCAACTGACCATATCCCTGATGCATTTAAATTGTGAGAAAGAAAATATTATCTCCAATCGATATTACTGTGTCTGCACAAATTGGTTAGTCACATAAATATTAAATATTATATTAAAAAAAGAGTCAAATAATAATATAAAAAGCGCAAAAAGAGGTGGAATCCTACGATCAAAAATTAGGGTGCAACAGATGCCCCTATTTAAGTTACTCCTA